CCAGCCACTCCTCGGAAGGAAGGTTGGGCAATCCTACTTCCGTAGTGATACTGCCTCGGAAACCCAAGGAGGGGTCGCTATGAGTCGGGGCCGACTTGACGGCACATAACAACAACAACAACAGTTGGTGACTCCTAGAACCCCGTTTCCCTCCTGATTTTTTAGTTGCTTGGGGGCTAACTGTCACAGCAAGGGCCCATTGCATGTTTTCAACTAGAAGTAAATTCTTTCTCAAGGGTGTTATTATCCAATTCCTTGCCAAATAGCCCTGCTTTCTTGGTTGCGGAAGTTCCTGGGTGGTGCAGATGGTTATGCGCTTGGCTGCTAACTGAAAGGTTGTTGAAGGTTCAAATCCACCCAGAAGCCTCTCAGAAGGAAAGCCAGGTGATCTCCTTCCAAAAACAAGCACAGTTCTACTGTGACACAGATGGGGTCACGAGGTGAAGGCAACTCAAGGGCAACTGGTTTGGTTTGAATTTGGTGGTTGCAGTAGCTTCCAGAAGCCCCTGCCTCTTTAGAAAAGATCAGCCAAGGCCTCTAGACCTAAGGCATGTTGGAGGCTTGAAAGCCCAGGTAACGAAAAGAGGTTTTCTCCTAGAGTCTGATGAAATTTTGTTCCAGCTCTGACAATTCGAGTTAATGTGAATGGAAGAGTGATATAAGGAGAGGCACTTCATCACAGGGAGGGACTGCTATTTAAGGGCAGTTGGGGCTCTCAATGAGGGCCCCCTCCTATGCAGTAGCAGCCAAATGAGTTCCAATCTCCATCAGGAGGATTCGCTCCCCCTCCCCACGCCCAAGAAGGCTTTGCTGCAGGGTGCTTAACCCTGACACTAGTGACATTTGGGGACAGATCATTCTCTGGGGTGGGGCTGTACACTGTAGGATGTTGAGCAGCATCCCTGGTCTCCACCCACTAGATACCAGTAGCATCCCTGGGGCTGTAACAACCAAAAATGTCTCTCCAGATGCTGTCTTGGAGACATTATTGAAAGATGAGCCATTCGCTTGAAGTAGTCAGGAAACTTCACTCTTCAAGCTCTCTAACCGTCGTGTCTGAAAGTCACGTCGGTTAGGATGGCACTGGGGAAATGGGAATTCAGGCGCTTCCTTCAGCTCCTGCATAAATTGTGCCCTGGCCTGTGATGGTAATTATCACAAAATAAACCTGAACCTCAACCCAGAAGGAGGTGACATCAAATCCAGCATGGCTCATTAGTGGCTTGAAATGTTCTATTTGATTTTTAAATCAAGTGTTTGACTTTTAGTCCCTTTGGATAGCAGTTCAAGTGAATTCTAAATGACTAAATCTATGACCAAGAACATACTTCAGATTTGAACACGTGGGTTCTTGAGATGGCTGCCCAGTTTCACACCCCTGGGGACCACTGAGCAGGGCCTGGTGAAAATCTGGCATATTGCCCACACTCATTGTTCCTTTCTAGAACTGCTGTCCAGATAATCTCACGTAATTCCCTCAGAGCCACGGAGACTTTCTGGTATCTGGTCTTCTGGGGGCAAAGATTTCTCTGGATTCCTGGTCTGGGTTCCTAATGACCTTGGGCCCCAGGGCCAGGCCCTCAGCCACCTCCAGCATGGACAGCACAGGGGGTGGGGGTTCATCAAAAATGCAGGCTGGCCTGATGGGGCCTGGCCTGGCTGAAAGCCGAGCATATGAAAGGCCCACTGACAAGGATCCCTCGCCAGCACTAGCCTATCAGCATCTGTGTCTGTTTAAAGGGCGAGAGCAAGAGAGAGTGTGATTTTGTTGGCTCGACAAACATTCAGAGCCAATTTTGGCACCCAGTTCTTCACAGGAAAGCCTCAGGAGGCTCCAGGAGGTGTGAGTGGGTGTTCAGGGCAATTTCCTGCCTGAGTTGGAAACCCCAATAATAACTGACATGGGGTCACTATTTTAAGGGAAAGGAAAAACTGCTATACACTGAAGATGACCCGGTTGATCACTGGGCTTTGTATCCTGTTGTTGTTGTTGTTGTTATGTGCCGTCGAGTCGGCCCCGACTCATAGCGACCCCTCCTTGGGTTTCCGAGGCAGTATCACTTGTATCCTGAGTGCTGGAAATTCAAGGACAGAGTGCCAACTGCAAGGTTCTCCAAGCAGAGTACCTAGACTAGCAACATCAGCAAATGCAAATTATCACACATGCATGCATGCACACACATGTCCTCAAATCTACACGGTTGCCCTGATGTGTTGGGAGCAACGCCCAGCCACATCTGGGGTGAGACCTTTCCCTCTGATCGCAGGTCACCCACCTTCTGCACCCTCATACTAACTCGAAGCTGTAGCCCCTCCGACTGCCAGGTCCACAAGCACGCTGCATGTCTTTCTTCAAGGTAAAGCATCTTATATTACAGTATTTAAGTAGTCCTTAACCATTTGACAGGTGTAAAACTGGGCTACAATTCTTCTTAAGGTCCCATCTCTCTCTCTCTCTCTTTTTTTAATGTCACTAATGTTTTGGAGTGCTGCGCTCCCAACCCCATTTTTCCCACCACCCCTCTGGTTTTTGTTCGACGTGTTTGCCTAGTGATTGATTTGGAAGCCTGCATAAGGAGCCCTCGTGGCACAGTGGTTAAGTGTTCAGCTGCTAACTGAAAGGTTGGCAGTTCAAACTCACCCATTTGCTCCATGGGAGAAAGATGAGGCAATCTGCTTTTATAGCCTTGGAAACCCTATGGGGGTCCTAAAGGGTCATCATGAGTCAGAATCAACTTGAAGGCAATGGGTTTGGTTTTTGTTTTTTGTAAGGTGCATAAGAGAGGAACTATCTATACCTTCTCCCCAAGTCCAGTACCATGTAGGCGGTAGAAAGGCACCCCCAACCCCTTCTCCTCTGGCTCCTCCCTGTTTTGATTAATCTGCAGAGTTAGCCCAGGCAGCAGTTCCAACTGGAAGCTTCTCCCCCATTCCAGGACACACTGGACGCCTTCTGTTCTGCCTTCCCAAAGCTCCCTGTCTGCTTCCTCTCAATGCACTCACCACAACTTAGTGACACCACCTGTCGAGGACAGAGGGACCCCAGTGGACCGAGACCTCCTTACGTGCTGCAGCACATCTTATTCATCTTTGTCTCAAATTCCATCAACACCTATCTGGCCACTCACCCACTCCGTGTCACCAGGCACTGCCGGAGCCCCAGTTTCCGGAAGATGTCCACCACCGTCTCCATGGGGGTGTGGTCCGTCACTGTGAAGGGGCTGAGGTTCAGGATGCGCCGCAGCTTCAGGGGGTGTGGGCTGTTGGCCGGCAGCTCAGGGGGCTCCTCGGTAAAGTACATGATGGAATTGCTCACAATACCTTCCTGCCTCTGTCTGGCGTTCTCTAGATTGGGGTCGATAGGAAAAATAAGTCACACGAAAATCTCTTTCTCAGTGATTCCCCCTACCCATACCCACACGTGTTCATGTATGTCTTCCTTCCACCAGAATTTTAGAATCCCACAGAAAATGGGGTTCAGAGGGCAAACTGCACATTCTTAATGAGGGGCTTAAGCCAAACATCTGTGAAATTTGCATCTCTTGAGCTACTGCTGTGCAAGGGTCCCTCTGCTGGGACCGGATCATTCATTCCCTGCCACAGTCTGAAGGATGGGCCTGCTCAAGATGGCTCCAGTGGAGGAATCTGCTGCTTCCATCCTGGACTGCAGGGCCCCAAAATGGCCCAGGGCCCTCCATGCTTTCTTTCCTAAGACTCTCACACCTCATCTTGGCCTGAAGTTTCACATCACAAGACACCGCACTTAGCTGCCCACAGAGCTTAAGACATTGTTTTCACAAGGTAACTCTTAACCGGCCCAAACAGTACTATGAATCCTGAAAGGGATGAGATACCAATAGGACCAGCCAGGCTCACAGCCCAGAAATGCAGCTCAGTCCCAAATATGACAACTGGGACCAAAGAAACATCCCTAGAAAAGCCACTTTGCCCTCCAAGCTTCCTTGGATCTCCTCCTCTAAAAGTGGGCCATTTCATGGATTTCTCAAGAAAGACAGTAAAACTGTTATGGTAACAATTAGCCTACTTCTGTCTGTAGAGAAGGCCATGTGAAAGAAAGCTGAGAAAAAGTAGGGTAACAGGAACTCATTAGAAATACAGCTTAATGCAGTGCTAGAAACCCAGGCTATTTTAAGTCACACATGAAATAAATCCACCAGTCTCAAGATATTTCTCCAAGGCGATTTTCCTTCTGTTGGAATTTTAATCTTTCTTTTGGTTCATGGGAAAAGGTTAGGGAAAAATGTACAGTGAGGTTTGCCTTAAAATGGATCCTGGTTTCTAGAAAACCTTTTTGCCTTCTCAAAGACGACTATTCACCTACATTGTGCTTTCAAAAGTAAAATTTGCACTGCCTCCTCCAAGGGCATTTACTGCAAGAGAGTAGTCTAATGGAAAATTGGCAGCATTCGGGGTCAGGCTGAGTCTAAAAAGGAGTCTCTGTTGAAAAGAGGAACTGAGGGCCTGCTGGGCAAATGCCTGTACATTATGTGGGTCAGGTTAAACTGAGTTACATCAAAGGGGATGTGATCAACCACAAATACAGATGACATTGGTATACACATCTTCAAAGGTGGATTCCGCTGCATGATATGCACTGCACTCTTCTTTCCAAAATCAAGATGTTTCCATCCTTAAGCACTAAGGCCAGGAGGCAACAGTCAACACACACTCATTTGCTCATTTTCCTAGATTGATTGGTTCTCTAAAAATCCCATAGAACAGGAATTTCACTCATTTCAACAATCAGATTGAATGTCAGGCTTGGATGAGTCACAAACTCCAATCTAGAACTGATTACATGGATTTTCTGAACCCCTTACAAAACTATATACAACTAGGGACTTCAGTAAAATGGAGAAATAGGCAGATAAGTAACACAGACCCTCTTCAACAAAGAAAAGAAAAACCAATTGACAGAGATACAGAAGATAATCCTGGAGCCCTGAGCTTTGAAAGGAACTATACAGTAGTGGATTAGGCACCAACTAATGGAAAAACGTGAACATAAACAGTGAGTACAGAGATGGTTGGAGCTGCAGACTGTCAGCTACTCTGACGGGACCAAAAGCCTGAATATCTCCAAGAGGTGTTGGGACCTGAGAATTGACCTAAAGATCAGCCCTGGTCACCAAGGGCTGCAGGGATGACTGTGTGCGCTGGTGGCCTATGACTAGGAAGGGAAACAGCAAGGAGGGAGACAACCTGAGCTGTTGATTTTCCGCTGTCCAGAGGGCACAGCCATTTTGATTGTTTACAAGCAGCAGCCATTTTGGATATTTAAAGTGACCGAGGGCGCAGCCATTTTTAATCTTTATAAGTGGCAACCATTTTGGACTTTAAAGTGATAGCATTCTCATTCGGATTCCAGGGACCTAAGAATAGGCTCTGTTTGCCAAGGTCGGCAGGGACATATGAGAGGCTGACAACAGGAAAGGAGACAGGTGGTGAGTGTATAAGTGCTGTCAACTAGAGAATAGAAGAGTACAGTACCCTGCTTGCGTAGATAACATACAAAGAAAACAAAAATCATGAGCAAGCCATTCCAACATACAATCACCAATTAAATATAAACACAAAAATGTCACAATGCCTCAGAGACAACAGAGTATCACAGTCCACACAAAGAAGTAAGAGAAAGCAGGAGAAACAAGGGACCAGGATACAGACACAAAACCCATCCCTGAGGAAGAGGCAGCATTGGAACTCCCTGATAAGGAATTCAAAAGAATTATATTTAGGTGTCTTCAATGAATTGAGAGAGAAATCAAGGAGAAAACCCTAGAACATTTTCAAAAGACAGTACAAGAACAAAATGGCAAAATAAATGAAAAATTAGAAATGATACAAAATCTAAACCCAGAAATCCAGAAGATTAATACTAAATTTTCAGAAATACATAAGACATTGAATGGGCAAAGGAGCAGAACTGAATCAATGGAAGACAGAATTAGAGAGACTGAAGGCAAATAACTGAACACTTCTTTGGAAAGGGATCAATCAGAAAAAAAGATCGAAACAAAAAGAAGAAAGCCTAAGGTTCGTGTGGGATGCCATCAAAAGGAATAACCTACGTGTAATCAGAATTCCAGAACAGGAAGACACAAATAAAACCACAGAGAAAATTGTCAAAGATTTGTTGGAAGAGAATTTTCCTGGTATAATGAAGATGAGAATATATCCATTCAGGAAGTTCAACGAACCCCAAACAGAATAGACCCCAAAAGAAAATCACCAAGACAAATCATCATCAAACTTACCAAAATCAAAGACAAAGAAAGAATCATGAGAGCATCATGGGAAAAACAAAAAGTTACCTACAAGGGGCAACCAATAAGACTAAGCTCAGATTTCTCAACAGAAACCATGCAGGTGAGAAGATGATGGGATGGTATACATAAAACACTGAAAGAGAAAAATTTCCAACCAAGAATTATGTACGCAGCAAAATTGTCCCTCAGATATGATGGTGAAATTAGGACATTTCCAGAGAAGCTGAAATTAAGGGAATTTGTTAAAACCAGGCCAACCTTACAAGAGATGCTAAAGGGTGCCCTTTGGACACAGAAGCAACAACAGCCAACAACACCTGACACACATGATGATATAACCCAGAAACCAACCCAGCTATGGAGGTATCCAAAGTCAAGAAGCCTACAAGATTGTAAATAGGGAACCAGAGACATCAATTGACAAATGAGGACAAGTACAAACCAAAAAGAGGGAAAAAAACTGTGTAGTTACACAACTTCTAGATGGAAGGGAAGTCAAGACAACTACGATAGAATGGACTATTCTAAACTTGGGAAGAAAACTATAAAT